ACAATTCTCCCATGATTTCGCGGGGACGTGAATCCTAGTTATAAAAAAAAAATAGTATGTTGATAATATCTTATATACTTTTGAAATCTTGATGGATGAGGAAAAAAAAATTATTAATGTTAATTAACAAACTGTTAATGTTGACTTTTTAATGGTTACAGTGACCTAATCAACTTAGTTTTCAGAGTTTTTAGAAATAATAATTTGAATGGTGTTTTCTGTCAGTTTGTCAAACTTGGAGGTTTAATTGCCAAATAAAATTGCGGACTAAATGTCTCTAAAAGACAAAAGATGGTCAAAATGGTCATTTCGATTTCGCGTCTATTTGGTTTGTTCATAGTGACGACTAGACGAAAAAACTGGAGAAAAAAATAAGAGAGAATAAGATTTTATCATATGATTGAGGAGTTTAACCTTTCTTCAAGGCAGTTGGAGGAGTTTCACAGTAGTTAGAGGAGCTTCTTTCTTCATAGAAGTTGGATGAGATTTCACAGCAGCGGATGGTTGTTTCTTGGCAGGCGAAGCTAGCTCTTGAGCAACACGCTCAATAGCAGTTAGGAGTTCCTGCTTACGAGCAAACATCTTGATGATATTTGAGTCAACCACCCTAAACTCCTTGGTCAACAGATCAATACGATCCCAAACCACAATAGCATCAACTCCTTCTGGTGCTAGCTTTCTCCTACCTGGTTCTGTCATAGACGTCGCCAGCTTGACAGGGATTCATACGCAGGGAATTCAGAGGCAGAGGATTCATACGCAGGGGATTCAGAGGCAGGGGTCCAAACACGAACCACACCATTTTGACAAGTAGTGCCGATATCATCATTTTCAGTGAACTTCGCATCGAGAGCAGATGCTGGATGTTCAAATGTCTGGCGGCATTCTTCATACTCTGTCCAAATCTTAGCAGTGCGGTGTGCCACTTTCTCTAAGTACCAGCCCTGACGCATGTGCATCAACTGAGGTGTGGCCAGCCATCATCTTAATAAGAAGGCCTTGTTAATTCCAAATGAGAGGGTTTGTAAGATGTTACAAAAGTTTGCTAAACGAGAAGTTGTTCCTTGCCAAAAGAAAATAAAGACAAGGAAGCAAGC